ACATTTGAAAACGGGAGTTAGTTCCTACACTCATCGAGTGAATGAGTTGAGTTGGTTTTCTGAATGTGCGAAAAGAGAGGTACCAACCCAGACGAGCTGAAGTGGCTCAGGCGTACGGTAGACGAAATTTTGCGGCGGTGCATTGTTTGTACGGTATTTACACTACAACATCTCAAGTGTTTGGTAGCTCGACGGTTGCTACCGTTTTTCCACCGCTCATGCCATGATCAAAATGGGACTGTTTTCAAGTGACGAATTGGAATAGGAGTGTTTTGTAAGCGGAAATCGTCTCAAGAATGAGTCAATTGAAGGTAAGAAACATCATATTTAATTACACTCTGGTCGCACAGGAACAAAGAGCTTACATATATGCTTGATTCTCGCCTTCACGTCACGTCTTTCAATGGCAAGCTGCTGTCGGGTCGTGTTGTCTGTCTTGTTGCAGATTTGTTCTAAACCTATATCGTACCTTCCTTTTCAGTCAGTCAAAGCAAGCTTTTGCAACGTGGATATCCCAGAAAAGCACCGACTGTGTAGCTTCTTCGCTCGCGTGGTGCACATTAACGGTCGCTCTTCACTCGGGTGATAAAATATGCAAATTAGTATTACTCTTTCGCATCTCGCTGCTCGTTCGTCGGTGGAAGCAGTGCATCGCAGGGTCGCGAAGTGCAGTGCAGCATGATGATGTAGCACATACTGTATTCGAGGAATTTGATTACGATGAGATGTGCAACAGCAGAAACTGCAGCAGCACCTTAAGGACGAAGAAGGGAAAAAGCTGCAATCTGATGAGAGAGTGGGAAAAAAATGAGTGAAATAGGTCACACACGACATGAGATGGGACTATACAAACTCGCCCTCGAGGGTAGAAATCATACTGCTGTGTGCATCGGTGTAACAACACGACGAAAAATACGACCGTTGGTTGGACAGCACTGATGGCATGTCACATCATCACCGACGCTCTGAGTAGAGCGCACTCACTCTGCAATTATGTTAATTAACGGATGTGTTGTAAAACATGTCGTAGTAGAAGAGTGTACACATATGATCTGCATCAGTTTCGTACCCAGTTTACGGGATTCAAGATTAACGAGGTGTCGTGTTCGGGGCAAAAAGGTACAACGGAACGTTTGCATATTATTACAGACAGAATGCAAATTTAATGCTTCATACGTTGTGCAAGTACACTGCTTAAACAAAAAGGCATTTATTTCATGAAGATCTTGAACAGATCTCAGAACGTGCTTGCAATAATGAGTTAGCCATTTTGGCAGAAAACCATTAAATTTTGGACGATGTCATAAGTTAGCTTAAAATGCAACTACAAATATTAATACTTCTGCGTTGCATCGGCTACAGTTTTCTTAATATTTCTTACAGCCTATCTAACTAGTTTCGACTAACATGACATAATCTCAATATGAATCTTACGTTTATTACAATATTAATGTCAGTAATAATATCAAAACCAGATTTCTTAACATAGATCACCACTTGTAAATCATTGGCATGGCACTATCCACCCCCCCCCCCCTCTCCCCACAAATAATGTTCATACATTTCTCAAATGTTTGCCCTGCGATATGTTTGATATGATGTTTGAAGCTCTAAAAAGAAACTCGAGTTTTGTCTCTTTCATACATCGTGTTCAATGCATCATTTCTATACCACCTAGCTAGACGATCAGCACGAAACGAATATAAAAACGAAACACGTGGCTTTGGATCTTCACGTCATTGCTTTGCTCATCATTTTCAATGAAAGCAACATCGATTATCGAGATGAAACGAAACCTCCTTATGGCGTACAATCCTTTTCATCGACGCTCTATCACCGTTGTTTCAATTTGTTTAATATGCGTTATATCTCGTTTTTGTTACTTTTTTACAGATAAATATGTGGATGGAAGTGTTTTCACGTGAGAAATGCTTTTAATATATATCTTCTCTGTCCGTCATATACATCATGAAACCTCTGTTTATTTGTTTTATGAAAGACGAAAATATCAAAGTCGAGCTCTCTTTAACTCGTTCGCTTCATCGAAGCTTGAAAGAAAGACCAATGACGCGATGAGACAAAGAGAGACAAGCAATTGAAAATTTGTTCATAGACGCCAACTGAGGTTCTAGGATACTCCGAAGCTGTTGGACTTTAACAGAAAAAGAAAATTAGCAGTCTATTCGTCGCATCCATTTTGTCGATTGAACCTAATATTGTGACACCCTGGTCAGGGTGGTCACTAGATTGATGCAAAATTTAAAATTTTCGCACCACGATGCTCAAACGGTTCCACGTTATGAAGTTTATATGGAAATTACTATGGGAAAACCAAATTTTCTGTTCATATCTATCTCAAAATTATCGGATTACACACTTAATTCAGATCACCGAAGTCGGTAGGAATTTACCGGGTTTTTGAACAGCAGAACATGTCGGTAAAATTTTCAAATGACCGTTACACGTGAGAAATCAAGAAAATTTATATATTTTATTTTTCATCAATAAATGGGGTAAACCGAAAAAATTCTGTACAAGTTCCGAATAAATTTTCTAATAATTGGATTTTTCACTGATTTTTAAACTTTTACCGACCAGTTCTGTAGTTCAAAATTTACCGAACGATGGAGGCCTGGATTAGTGTGTAAGCAGTATTCACTCGGCCTTCGACGGAAGCAGACCACTCTCAATGTGTGTCACACGATCGTTTGTTTACTCGGCAGCAACCATTGTGTGGTCCTCCTCACTGTTCTTCATCAGCAGTTCTTTCAGTTGATGCGTCGTCGAATTTGTGTGCTGACCACGTTTTGCATCCATTGCTGCAATGGAAGCGCTCTGACCTTGGTCCTTCGAGCCGGATCGGAGGACATACCCAAGCCAGGAATAAGCGTCGTAGGCAAGTTAGCGCCATCGCGGTAAGTGGTCAAAAGGCATTGATCACACAAAGGTAGGCCATTCATTATATTATTGGTGTTTTGTGCAGAAAGTTTGGGCCTTTTCTCGCACGGCCAACGCCAATATTTCGCGCCGATATAAGGAGGCAAGGAATGGCGGCATAATCGAATATTGCATGACAACATCGCATGACCGATCCGATTGATCGAAGCGCATACAAGGCGAACATAATTAGTACGGTGGAATTTCTAAGCAGAGGCGGCATAATTAACGATTTTTTTGCAAATTGATGATCGTTGGTGGCTGATTGGTAAATTGATTGCCTGTTTTATCAATTGCACTTGCGCATACAGTAGGTCGCATTGAAATTAGTACACCGTACTGGGTGGTGGAAATCAACAACAGAAAACGGTGAATGATCAATTCATCCAAGGCACATTTGCGATATTTGTGGCGTTTTAGCGGACACGCGTATCGTAGAAAAGGGCACGTCGTGACGGGAAGGATTGATCGTATCGATTTCACGTGTCCTTTTCGGTCGTTCGCGTTCGTAGAAGTATCACGACGCGACGGGAAGGATTATATCGATCGAATTTCGTGGTACTTCCGTCGTATTGATCGCGTTTGAACAGTACATCGCGCCGGGAAGGATAAATTTGTTCAATTCTGTGCTGTTTTCGTTTCGGTTCGTGTAGAAACGGCACGTCGCGTCGGGAAGGAGCAATCGTTACGAGATAAACGTGTCGTTTCCGTTCTCGCGCGTGATTCGAGTGGTGAGTAAGATGGCAAACAAGGCGGAAAAGAAGCTGGAAGGAAACATCCTGATCCTTAAGCGAGTGTTGGCGATACGAGATGTGGTGGAAAAGTTCGTGGCGGAATACGACCATGAGCGGGACGCCAACCAAGTATCGGTTCGGTTGGAAACCTTGGACAAGGTCAACAAGGAGTTTCAACAGGTCCAAGGGGAGATAGAGAAATTAGATATCGATCAGTTCGAGGATCACATCGAGGTACGCACTGGATTCGAAAATCGGTACTGCGTACTGAAGGGATTTCTACTCTCCAAGATGGACAACGGCCAGCCTCCATTAAATTCGACGATGATCAACACCTTCGCTCACCACACAGCATCGAGTTTTCACCATCGGTTGCCGAAGATCGATCTGCCGAAGTTCAGCGGGGATGAGTCAAGATGGATATCTTTCCGGGACAACTTTCTGTCGATGATCCACAACAACGAAGACATTCCGACCATCAACAAACTCCAATATCTGCTGCAATCGTTGGAGGGAGAAGCAAAGAAGCCGTTTGAAAGCGTTGACATTCAGGCAGACAATTATGCGTCTACGTGGGACGCATTGATGAAGCGCAACGACAATAAGCGGTTCCTGAGGAAGGAGTTATTTCGACCACGAAGCAAGCGTGAATCAGCACAGAAGCTAAACACATTGGTCGACGAATTCTAAGGGCACGTGAAAGCGTTAGGAAATCTCGGTGAATCAATCAAACACTGGAACACTCCCCTCACTTTCATCCTCTGCAATAAGCTCGACGCATCTACGTTACGTTCTTGGGAACAAGAAACGCGTCAGAATGATGACGTAAGCTACGATGAGTTGATTGAATTCCTCATCCAGCAAGTTCGAATGCTGAAGTCTGTATCAAGTGATCTACAACATCGCTCTCAAGGGACTAGCATCAAGGTGGCCGGTCCAAACCCGAAGAAATTGTCCACATTCAAGTCCGTTGTCAATGCTGCTACAAGTGAAGTCAAGTCGAACACTCTTCATTGCCCTGCATGTTCCGAGAAGCATCTGCTACACCAGTGTCCGACATTCAACAAGCTGTCCGTATCCCAACGACGCGAGTTGGTAACCCAGCGAAGCTTGTGTTGGAACTGCTTTCGTTCTGGTCATCAAGCGCGGGCCTGCAAATCCAAATTTAGTTGCAGAACCTGCCAAGCCAGACATCACACCTCGCTGCACGACGCAGTTCCGAAAAGGACGACTCCTGCCGTACCGTCAAATCCTCCTATGCAACAACCAACTCCATCCACGTCAGCGCACGCGGGGACCTCTGGATCAGCGCATCCACCGAAAGTTAGCATGGCTATCCAATCGAACCACAACACGGTCCTACTGGAAACGGTTGTTCTAATCGTCGTCGATCAACACGGCAAGGAATTCACCGTACGAGCGCTCCTAGATTCTGCATCGATGTCCAACTTCATCACCAAGCGACTGGCAAACGCTCTTGTCACACAGCGTACTGCAGTGGACGTTGCTGTATCAGGACTAGGAGAATCCGTCAAGCAGATCAAACGCCAAATCACGGCTACGATCAAATCGAAACCGAACACTTTTTCCACCACACTCGAATTTCTCGTAATGAAGAAACCATCTGCCAATCTTCCGACTATCGCCATCAACATAGCTGCGAGGAACTTACCAAGCGTTCCACTGGCCGATCCGCATTTCAATATTCCGGGCATGATCGATATCATCATCGGTGGGGCATGCTACCACGAAATCCACACCGGTAGCCGCATAGCACTCGGGAACGGTCTACCATTGCTGGTCGAAACACACTTCGGGTGGGCAGTTTCTGGAAAAACGTCCACCAATTCAGCTGATGCACCACCAGCATGCTACATATCGACCATCGACCGATCCCTCGAATCAGCACTTCAACGTTTCTGGGAGCTTGAAGCCGTCGATAATGGCCCGACGCATTCCTCAGAAGATAAATTGTGCGAAGAGATCTATGCCACTACTACCACTCGAACTCACGATGGAAGGTACGTCGTACGCCTTCCTCGGTCCGAAGATCCGCAAGTCACACTCGGAGAGTCCCGAGAAATTGCCACACGCCGCTTCTACAGCCTTGAGCGCCGCCTTGAAAGAGATCCTGTCTTGAAGAAAGCCTACCACACTTTCGTCGAAGAATACCTCCGCCTCGATCACATGCGCAAGCTCAATTCTGTTGACGACGAAGTTCCGCATTGCTATCTGCCGCATCACCCGGTATTCAAGGAGAGCAGCACCACCACAAAGGTATGCGTGGTGTTCGACGCTTCCTGTAAGACCTCCTCCGGAATGTCGCTCAACGACACACTCCTCGTCAGTCCAGTTGTGCAGCAGAATCTCGACACCATCATCATCCGCTTCCGTTTTCACGTTGTTGCCATTGTGGCTGACGTAGAGAAAATGTACCGTCAGATTTTCCACTTTCCTGCTGATCAACATTTCCTACGCATTCTGTTTCGTCGAAGGCCATCAGATCCAATCGACACATACGAGCTCCTCACGGTTACGTATGGAACATCCTCCACCCCGTTCTTGGCAACACGTACACTGCAGCAGCTAGCGAAAGACGAAGAAGACAATTACCCAGAAGCAGTAGAAGCTGTCGTCAAAGATTTTTACGTCGATGATCTCCTTACTGGCGCAGACAACTTGGAGTCTGCCATAGAAAAACGTCGTCAAATATCTACCATGCTCGCATCGGCTGGTCTACCGCTGAAAAAGTGGGCTTCCAACGTTCCTGAAGCTTTGGCTGGCATCCCGCCTGAAGATCTGGCGATCAAATCTTTCCATGATTTGCAAGATGATCAGTCAGTATCCACACTTGGCCTTGTATGGGATACGAAGACGGATATGCTCCGTTTCAACGTCGATCTTCCGCTACCAGCACCGATTCTTACGAAAAGAAAGGTCATCTCGTACATTGCCAAGATTTTCGATCCGTTAGGCCTCGTTGGACCCACTATAGCCACTGCCAAATTGTTCATGCAGCGACTTTGGAAACTAAAGAACGAAGACAAAGCTCCCTACGAATGGGACCGCCCGCTCCCGCAGAAGCTACAGGATGAGTGGAAGCAATTCCATGCTACGCTTCCCATCCTGGCTGACATCAGAATTACACGTTTCGTATCTTTGGCCGCCATTTCCAAGGTTGAGTTGCATTTCTTTTGCGATACATCTGACGCTGCCTACGGAGCATGTTGCTTCAACCGCTCGTTTAACCACGACCAAGTAAAGGTTCAATTGCTGACATCGAAGTCAAAGGTGGCACCTCTTGCCACGAAACACACTATCACAAGACTTGAGTTGTGTGCAGCCGTTCTTTCCACGAAGCTGTATCAGAAGGTTGAACACTCAATCAAGCTGTCCACCGATGTCTACTTCTGGACAGACTCAACCACAGTCATTCAATGGTTGCAGTCACCACCGAATCGTTGGAAAACATTCGTTGCGAATCGTGTTTCCACCATCCAATCCAACACTGAAATTGCCGCTTGGAGACATGTCCCAGGAGTAGAAAACCCAGCCGACGAACTATCTCGAGATAGTCAGCAGACTTAGTCAATCAGTCCAGATGGTGGAACGGACCGAAGTGGTTGTGGGAATTTCCTGCGCACTGGCCTGTCTCGAATGTTCCAGAAGAAGAACACATTACCGTCATCGAAGAAGCTCGGAAGGTAACTTTGTTATCGCTCAATACTTCTGACGAACAGTTTGCAAATATACCGCGGTAACGTTCGCAGCATCCCAAAGTCGGTCGTTTCTGATTTGTCGACTACCTATTGTGTCTCGCTATCCATCCGTCGGTAACAATAAATCAGTCAAAGTGGAAATTGAATTTTTTTTTTTTGTGTGTTCGAAAGATAGCCAACGGTCGTGTACGTGCGTGAAGGTGGAACATTAGCAGTGTTTCAGCGTGCCAACTTCCTCAGTGGTTTCTGTGCACCGTTCGAAGGCCGAACGGAAAGAAACACCTCCGAATCCCGGCAAATACAGAGCCCACGGCTCGAACATTGGCGAATCTGTCATACAATGACCCCCATTGGCGAATCTGTCATACAATGAAACTACTGGAAGCGGCTCCCGTTCTGGTGGAGGAGGCTTATTGTATAGCGGAAGATAAAATGTTTATTGTGTTGTACCTTTTGACTATAGTTTTAAGATGTATTGTATAGTGAACAATAATCCTCGGCTCTGTAAAGTTAATTCGGTTAAGCATTATCAAATAAATTAATAAACAACAACAACAAAATCAGATTAACCAACCGTGCAATAGTCAAAAGAATCAACAGAGGAGAATATTAGACATTAGAAAGAAAAACAAAGGCAACACCAAAATTTCCAATCGATAACGAAATCATGGCATACAACTTGGTGAGACCGGGAAGCTCAATTGCTAAGAAATAAAGGAGGAACTTGAAATTTCTATTACAACGCGGTGTGTACCACAGATTTTGCGAGGATCTAGACATCTGGTGTATACAAAAAAGATCAAAAAACCTAATCTCACCCCAAAGCATATTGAGGCCAGATTAGATTTTGCTAAAAGTCGTAAGGGAAATGGATGTAATGCCCCTAATTTCGGCCCATACCTTAATTCAGCAATCGACTAAATTTTCAATAGCATCAAAAAATATCTATTAATACCGTCCAAATGACGCGTTCATGTAGATAAAATTGAAAAATAGCAGATTTTTACCGATGGGCCCAATCTTAGATCCATAGGCCAACATTAGAGCCATTTCCGCTACGTATTTTTTTTTTCGGACGAGAAAAAATTTAATCTAGACGGCCCTGACTGCTGTGCATATTATTGGCACGATCTACGGAGGGATCCCGAGGTGAAGTTGAGGAGAAGCAGCCTTCTCACGTACATGAAAAACACCCATAGCTACAATTTGCACCAGAATGAACGCTGAAAGCTATCTGGAACTGCTGGACGATGTTTTGATCCCATTCACCCAGGACGTCATCAACAATGAATTTATTTTTCAGCAGGACAACGCCGCAATCCACGTGAGCAATAAGTCAAAAAATATATATTTTTCAGAACAAGATATCCAAGTTTTGGACTGGCCAGTGTACAAGTTTTCAAATGATCGCAAAGTTGGCAACACTGTGGAAAAATTACCATCACAAAATTGGATTGTACGTTTGAAATTCTCAATGTCGATTGTATCTTTATTGGTTTCTGAGATGTCTAAAAATTTTAATTGGTGTTTATTAAAAATCGGCAAAAAGAGCACGAGCAGCACACTTATCGCTAAACGGTTGTCGTAACTCCTATGCGACTTATTCCGGTCACAATCAAGTTGCCGCAACTTTTCGAGGCGGAAGTGGGTTGCTTGGGAGGAGGGCAGTCCCCAGAGCCGAGGGGTTGGTCAATTGGCACAAAACTATGGGTTCAAATTGGAGAAGTTCGATGCATTTGCTCAGTTACTTGAGATGGAATGACCCATATATTCAAAGAAACTATTTTGAAAAAAAATACAAGTTTCAAAACGACCAAATTTTTGCAAAAATGTGAATAATTGTACATAATAAACACTTATGCAAAGTTTCGCGCGAATCAAAGAAGGTAGAGTCAGCACGATTTGTTGTTTGGAGTGAAACGGCTCTAAATTAAACTCAGTGCTCTTAGTTTTGTATTATTTGTTTTTTTTTTTTTGACTTTATAGTCAATTGCACCATCAACATTCGATTCCACTGGTTTCTTCTAGGAATTTCCTCCAAACTCTTAAAAAACGTCTTGGAAGTATCCTCATAAATCACCCCAGAATTCATATAGAACTATTCACAGAATATCTTACCTTTGAAACCCACTTTTTTAAAAAAAAAAAAAGCTCAGAACTTCTTTTGAATAGCTAATAGAATTAGATCTGAAATTCTCCTTCAATTGACATAGTCTTCTTATCAGCACTCTCTTTAAATTGCCCCTGGAGCTCACTCTCAGTTATACAGGAATTCTTTCCAAACTTGTCATTTCTTCTTAAAAGTTCTTCCGAGGACTACTCACTGAGACATAACTTAATTTATACGTGATGGAATTCATATTTGACATAAAAAATGGAACGTAAACAAACATATAATAGTTGAAGATGCTAATTTCAAATAACAGACTAAAGTGGTAATTTTTATACGATAGATTAGGAGATGAAAGTATAGAGTTGATAGTTCCGTTTGATCACCTCTCTTTACCAAACTCCCCCGTTAGAGAGGGATGGTGAGGGGTATTTCCCCCCACCACCACTGGCAAAAAGTGATGATGTCCGACTCGCTCATGTACCGACGATGTGTTTGAACCAGTTCTATCGATCTTACCGCACTCAAGTTGTTATCTGAAGGAAGGCATCCAAACATATAGGGGGAGTTTGGTAAAGAGAGGTGATCAAACGGAACTATCAACTCTATACTTTCATCTCCTAATCTATCGTATAAAAATTACCACTTTAGTCTGTTATTTGAAATTAGCATCTTCAGCTATTATATGTTTGTTTACGTTCCATTTTTTATGTCAAATATGAATTCCATCACGTATAAATTAAGTTATGTCTCAGTGAGTAGTCCTCGGAAGAACTTTAAAGAAGATATGACAAGTTTGGAAAGAATTCCTGTATAACTGAGAGTGAGCTCCAGGGGCAATTTAAAGAGAGTGCTGATAAGAAGTCTATGTCAATTGAAGGAGAATTTCAGATCTAATTCTATTTGCTATTCAAAAAAAGTGAGTTTCAAAGGTAAGATATTCTGTGAATAGTTCTATATGAATTCTGGGGTGATTTGTGAGGATAATTCCAAGAAGTTTTTTAAGAGTTTGGAGGAAATTCCTAGAAGAAACCAGTGGAATCGAATGTTGATGGTGCAATCTCAAATAAATTCTGAAAAGAGAGGAAGGGCGTTCTGAGATGGATTATTTGAGGATTCTGCAGAAATACCAACTCTTTTGTTGTTGAACCCCGAGAGATTTTGCGCCGTCCAAGAAGGGGACGTGCCTAGACCCCTAGCTGCTGTTCTAAGCCGGTCGGGGTGGGCACTAGGATGGGCACAATTTGTCGGCGAGGGGGAATTTTTGGTGTAATTCGGATCGATCTGGTCCGGTGTGCGATCTGGTCTGATCTGGTGTGCGTTGGCTGTCCCGACGGCGGAATGGAACAGCCGGAGGGCAGTAGCCGGATGGCAGTGCGTTGGCTGTCCCGACGGCGGAATGGAACAGCCGGATGGCAGTGGCCGGATGGCAGTGGCCGGATGGCAGTGGCCGGATGGCAGTGGCCGGATGGCAGTGGCCGGATGGCAGTGGCCGGATGGCAGTGGCCGGATGGCAGTGGCCGGATGGCAGTGGCCGGATGGCAGTGGCCGGATGGCAGTGGCCGGATGGCAGTGGCCGGATGGCAGTGGCCGGATGGCAGTGGCTGGATGGCAGTGGCCGGATTGTGACGGCCGGATTGCGACGGCCGGATTGCGACGGCCGGATTGCGACGGCCGGATTGCGACGGCCGGATTTCGACGACCAGGTTTGCGACGGCCGGATTGCGACGGCCGGATTGCGACGGCCGGATTGCGACGGCCGGATTGACACAGCCGGATTGACACAGCCGGATTGGGTTCGCTGGATAACGACACGACACGAGGCCAACAATGGAGCACCGTGATCGACGCACTATCAACGCAATGGCCGAATGGCGATAGCCGGATCACGATAGCCGGATCGCGATAGCCGGATCGCGATAGCTGGATCGTGATAGCCGGATCGCGATAGCCGGATCGCGATAGCCGGATCGCGATAGCCGGATCGCGATAGCCAGATCGCGATAGCTGGATCGCGATAGCCGGATCGCGATAGCCGAATCTCGATGGCCAGAAAGGGTTGGCTGGATGGTGTCGGCCAGATGATGACGGCCGGATGATGATCGGTCAAGCTATGAAGCACTGTGATCGACGCGCTATCACTTCTTTCTTCCGGCACTTTGTTGCCAGTCTCCACATACTCCTCGTGTATCTCTCGACTATCTCGCACCACAGTCAGCAACCCAACTCTCTCTCTCTCTCTCTCGGCCAAACGATCTCTCACCTCATCATCGACTCTCAGCTTCCCCGTAGCTAATTTCCGTCTCCAACTGCTCTATGACCAGTCGGTGGTGGTTCAGTGGACAGTGATCGCTTCGCCCATGCAGCAAAACATCTCCATCATCGCTGTGCTCTACCTTGTCGGTCACTTTAGAAGTGACGTTATGGAGCTATCTCTCCTAACAATAGTGACCCTACTCTTACTCCAACTGAATCAAATGATACCAACCGGTAACACATGGGAATACTGAGGAGAATACGAATTGAACTTTCGATCGAATTCCGAAGAGAAATCCAAGATTGTTCTGAGCATATATGTTAGACATTTCTGAGGTTAATTACATGAGAACTTTAAGGAGAATTGAAGTAAATTTAACAGGGAATTAAGGAAGGAGCCTTCAGCGAATTCTCGGGAGAATCATTTAACATTCGAAGATATTCTATTTCCAAGAATGTTGTGGCTTGTTTTACAAGAATTTATAGAATATAATATTAAATGT